TCATTTAAAATGGAGTGTGGCAAAATGGAAGACTGTTCTGTGGTCAGATGAGTCACGATTTGAAGTTCTTTATGGAACACTGGGACGCCATGTCATCCGGACCAGAGAGGACAAGGATAGCCCAAGTTGTTATCAACGCTCCGTTCAGAAGCCTGCATCACTGATGGTATGGGGTTGCATGAGTGCTTGTGGCATGGGCAGCTTGCATGTCTGGAAAGGCACCATTAATGCAGAGAACTATGTTCAGGTTCTAGAACAACATGTGCTCCCATCTAGACGTCCTCTCTTTCAGGGAAGACCCTGCATTTTTCAACACAATGATGCCAGACCACATTCTGCAGCAATCACAACATCATGGCTACGTAGGAGAAGGATCCGGGTACTGAAATGGCCAGACTGCAGTCCAGATGCAGTCCACAACTTTTCAGTCAGTTCTGTAAATCTGCATGTAATAATTAAAACTACAATCATTTACAGGTTCCTTCCTGTAAATTTCAGTTTCTACACTTAATAACTTTTATTCCTCTTCCCCTCACAATCCTCTGGGAATAACATCCATCTCCTGTTGTTTTCATTTCCTCTGTTCCTTCCCCATCACCGATTATTTTACTTTCCAGAAAACTGGAGTCACTTGGCTTCTTTCTGCCTGACACCATCTTCTCCTTCAAGGTGTTCTCTAGAACTCCATCAGCTGGACTTTTCTAATCTGAAGGTAAAATCTCAGTGTATATGGCAGCTACATTTTTCAAATGCTGACATAGCACCAAGCTAGAGGCATGCAATGCACACGCGCTAGCTAAGATGCTAGTTATGTAGCATTCGCTTCTCTCGCATTTAACCCCCCGAAAAAACTCTTCAGGTCTAGATAATTCACATAAATGATCCGTTTTGTTTTGAAATCGGCGAATTTCACCGAAAAGAGACAAGTTTGCAGGTATGAACTTAGGAGGACGAAATGTCCAGAGGACAGTTTGTAAGCTTAATGTGTTGCACAAGCTCAGTGAGAGTAGCTAAAGAAACTGGTTCAAACTGAACACAGCTGAAGCTACAGCAGCAAGAGAAAGTCAGGAGTTTTACCCACAGATGTTCTACTGCAGGTTCTCAACTGTGTGGGTCCTCACATGAACAGTCAATCTATGATGATGTGAAAAGCATTTACCACATGTTCCACACAAATATGGCTTCAGTCCTGTGTGGGTTCTTGTATGAAGATTTAAACCGTGACGACGTAAAAAACATTTACCACATATTCCACATAAATATGGCTTCAGGCCTTTGTGGGTCTTCATGTGACCGATCAAATAATGATTACGATTAAAACTTTTTCCACATGTTCCACAAGAATAGGGCTTCTCTCCTGTGTGGGCTCTCATGTAAAGTGTCAAACTATGTTGATGTGAAAAACATTTACCACAAGCTCCACAAGCGTAGGGCTTCTCCCCTGTGTGGGTTCTCATGTGAACAGTCAAGCTATGACGATGTGAAAAACATTTACCACAAGTTCCACATAAATGTGGCTGCAGGCGTGTGTGGGTTCTCATGTGGCTGATCACATGACCATTTTGACTAAAACATTTACCACATGTGCCACAAGTATATGGTTTCTCCCCTGTGTGCGCTCTCATGTGAACATTCAAACTACGACTATGTGAAAAACATTTACCACATGTTCCGCAAACATATGGTTTCAGGCCTGTGTGGACTCTCATGTGCTGCTTCAAACGGACTTCTAGTCTGAAACTGTTGCCACAGAATTTACAAACATGTTTTTCTCTGGAGTGGGTTATTTGATGATTTTTCAGCTCTGATTTATTCTTAAAGGTTTTCCCACAAACGTCACATTTAGAACACTCTGTAGAAGACTTACGTCTGGACTGTCTGCTGGAACCAGAAGACCTGCACACTTGGTTGCTTTCTTTTTGATCCAGACTCTCAGCTACAGGAGAGACGACAGTGAGGAGCTGGTGACTGCTTGGTTCTGGTTCTCTGAGGTCACTTTCCTCACAAGTCTCCATGAAGGTACCAGTCTGCTGCTTCAGAACCAGCTGCTCTCCCTCCTGACTGATGCAGAGTTCCTCCTGTTCTTCTTTAATCTGTGGAGGTTCTGGTTCCTCCTGTTCTTCTTTAATCTGTGGAGGTTCTGGTTCCTCCTGTTCTTCTTTAATCTGTGGAGGTTCTGGTTCCTCCTCTTCTTTATAGACTTGTTGCTTATGGAGGTCTGGGAGGACAAAAAAAACCCAGAAAAATGTTACAACTGTCTTTATAAAAACATTTCATCAACAAAACAATTAAAATCAAATTCCTCAGAATGTGAAACTCTGGCAGTAGGATCCATATTTATTTATAAAAAATTGCAAAAGACTAAACAAAAAGAAACATTGTTATTGGTTGTATAAGTGCATGTCAATATCTGTGTGTTTGAATAATTATTTATTACATAATTTTATCATTTTTATATTTATTACATAAATATTTGGTAAGAAAATATTTTGATTGGTAAAGTAAAGCAGGAGAGGAGATTTGAAATAAATTATGTCCCAAAGGATCTCCTGATGCATGCTCAATAATCTTCTCAGAGTGGATCAACCAGTTTGCTGCTGACAACCAGAACCAGCTGATCACATGCTCAAGAAGGACCATCAGCCTAACAATGGATCATTAGCACCTGATGGCTGTTTACTGTTCACAGAGGGCTGAGTGATACTAGCAATCACAGCATTGTAAGAGGGGGACAGTTGAACCCGGAGGCTCCACCCCTGTTTAATGATGGACGGTTTCTTTTCACAAAGATGGCCTCCTTTACTCCTCTCTCAAACCATCGTTCCTCTCTGTCCAGGATGTGAACATCTTCATCCCTGAAAGAGTGACCTCTGGACTGGAGATGAGTGTAGAACTCAGAGTCCTGGCCTGATGATGTTGATCTTCTGTGCTGGTCCATCCTTTTGGCCAGTGGCTGTTTAGTTTCCCCGATGTAAGACTGATCACCCTCCTGACACTGAACAACATACACAACATTACTCTGTTTGTGCCGGGGGACTGGATCTTTGGGATGAACCAGTCTTTAATGTATTTTGGGGTTTAAAAGCCACTGGGACGTTATGTTTAGAAAATAAACGTCTCAGTTTCTCTGATACCCCCTCAACATATGGAATGACCACTGGTCTGGGTCTGGGTTCCTCCTTTTCACCTGATGGCTGACTGGAGTCCTGTTTGGGTTTCTTCTCTGCTTTCAGGAAGGCCCAGTTAGGATATCCACATTGTTCTAGAGCCTGTCTTGTGTGGGATTTCTCCTTCTGCCTGGCTCCTGAGCTAGTGGGGATGCTGTCTGCTCTGTGGTACAGAGTCCTGATGACTCCCAACTTGTGCTCCAAAGGGTGATGGGAGTCAAACTGCAAAGAGAGCCTTGACGTCCTTTTCAGGGACACCACCAAGTCATTGGTTCAGGTTTGTTGACGACACCTGGGTTAAAATCAAATCTCAGGAAGTCCAACATTTTACTGACCACATCAACTCTGTGGATAAATACATCAAGTTCACACGAGAAAATGTAAAAAATGGCAGGTTGGCTTTCTTGGACTGTGAGGTCTCAGTCTCTGATAGAGGACATTTGCAAACTGAGGTGTACCGCAAACCCACCCACACAGACCAGTATTTGCAGTCAAAAATAAAAATGCGTGATGACTTTGGACTATTGGGGGGAGATATGAGTTGCCGGATCCGAGCAAACAGTTGCCAGAACCGGAACACAGTGGGTCAAAATGAGACAGTTCCCGGATCTTGTTCCGGCAGGATCCGGCTCAAATTAACCTCTGCTTCGGAGGCAATGAGGGGTTCAGTGTCTTGCCTAGGCCAGGAACACTTCAACATGTGACTGCTGGTGGAATCAAACCCCCAACTCTCCAATTGGAGGAGACTGCTCTAGCCTCTCAGCCACAGCTGCCTCTAGCTGAAGAGGATTATTATTTAATATATGTAAATAGTTTATTTTTTAGACAATTATTTTGTACAGTTACAGCTGTTTGTTAATAAATGTGCCTGTGTGACAACTGGGACAAAGCTTTGACTTAGAAATATATTTTTGTTATTTTACGGAAAGAAAAAATATTGATATATATCGTATATCGTGACTTATCGAGATATTAATTTTGATCCATTTCGCCCAGCTCTAGATGGACAGTTTCTCTTCACAAAGATGGCCTCCTTCACACCTCTCTCAAACCATCGTTCCTCTCTATCAAGGATGTGAAGATCTTCATCCCTGAAAGAGTGGCCGCTGGCCTGGAGAGGAGTGTAGACCACGTAGTCATGGCCTGATGATTTACACTTTGACTCTGCGGTCGAGTGAAGAGAGGGGCGGAGCTGTCCACTGACCACTACTTGGTGGTGAGTTGGTTCTGATGGTGGGAGAGGATGCCGATCAGACCTGGCAGGCCCAAACTTATTGTGAGGGTCTGCTGGGAATGTCTGGCAGTCTCCTGTGAAACGGAGCTTTAACTTCCATCTCTGGGAGAACTTCAAACACATTCCGGGGGAAGTAGGGGACATTGAGTCTGAGTGGGCCATGTTTTGCCCCTCCATCGTCGAGGTGGCTTATCAGAGTCGTGGCCGCAAGGTTGTCGTGCCTGTTGGACACCAGCGGTGAGGGACACTGTCAGGCTGAAGAAGGAGTCCCATCGGGTCTTTTTGGCCTGTGGGACCCCAGAAGCAGCTGATGGGTACCAGCAGCGGCATGAAGTTTGGGTGGTTGCTGCGCCAAAAACAAGGGCATGGGAAGAGTTCGGAGAGGCCATGGAGAATGACTTCCGTACGGCTTCAAGGCAATTCTGGTCCACCATCCGGCGTCTTGGGGGGCGGGGGGGGGGGGTGTTACACCACCAACACGGTTTATAGAGGGGATGGTGTGCTGCGTACCTCAACTCAGGACGTCGTGGGTCAGTGCAGTATTTAGAGTACTTCGAAGATCTCCTCAATCCCACCAGCACGTCTTCCATTGAAGAAGCGGAACCTGGGGACTTTGGGTCAGGCTCTCCAATCTTTGGTACTGATGCCACCGAGGTGGTTAAAAAAAACTCCTCGGTGGCAGGGCCCCAGTGGAGGATGAGATTAGCCTGGAGATTCTTAAGGATCTAGATGTTGTGGGATTGTGTGGGCTTACACAACTCTGCACAGACAACAAGGGCAGTTCCCCTGGATTGGCAGACTGGAGTGGTGATCTCCCTATTGAAAAAAGGGGACCGTAGAGTGTGTTCCAACTACAGGGGATCACTCTCTTCAGCCTCCAGAGAAGAGAGTCCGTCGGATAGTCGAACCTCAGATTCAGGAAGAGCAGTGTGGTTTTCATCCTGGTTGTGGAACATTGGACCAGCTCTACACCCTCAGCAAGATCCTGGAGGGTGCATGGGAGTTTGCCCAACCAGTCTACGTGTGCTTTGTGGACTTGGAAAAGACGTTTGACCATGTCCCTTGGGGAACCCTGCGGGGGTACCGGGAGTATGGGGTACCAGGCCCTTTGAGACGGGCTGTTAGGTCCCTGTATGACCGGTGTCAGAGCTTGGTCCGCATTGTCGGGGAGGAGGTCCTGCCCCAAGTGGAGGACTTTAAGTATATTGGGGTCTTGTTCACGAATGAGGGAGAAATGGAGCGAGATCGATAGGCGGAACGGACCAAAAGAACGAGATCACGGATACAAGCGTCCAAAATGAGTTTTCTCTGCAGGGTGTCTGGGTTCTCCCTTAGAGACAGGGTGAGAACCTCGATCATCCAGGAGGGACTCAGAGTAGAGCCACTGCTTCTCCACATCGAGAGGAGCCAGTTGAGGTGGCTCGAGCTTCTGGTTAGGATGCCTTCTGGACGCCTCCCTGGTGAGGTGTTCCGGACATGTCCCACCGGGAGGAGACCAAGAGAAAGACCCAGGACACGCTGGAGGGACTATGTTTCTCGGCTGACCTGGGAACGCCTCTGGATTCCCCCAGAGGAGCTGGCCCAAGTGGCTGGGGAGAAGGAAGTCTGGTCCTCCCTACTTAGGCTGCTACCCCCACGACCCGACCCCAGATAAGCAGAAGAAAATGGATGGATGTAAGTTTAAATGTCTGCCATCAGATATATGGAAGACTTGGAGAACACAGTTAGTTTAAAGCATGTGGCTAACAAACTTCCTCATATACTTAAGGACACTGAGAACGTTTGCTTGTGACTCACAAGAGAAAAAAAAATAGTATAGTTCAAGGATTTTGTTGAGTTTGTAAAGAAACTGTTTGTGTTAGAGCTAGTACCGATTCTGTGCAACTTTATTTCAGGCATCCTGATGGTCTTCACGAGTCGGAGCTGAAGATCCATGTCCTCCTCACTCAACGCTGCCGTAATATAAAGGGTACCAGTCTGCTGCTTCAGAACCAGCTGCTCTCCCTCCTGACTGCTGCAGAGTTCCCCCTGGTCCTCTTTAATCTGTGGAGGTTCTGGTTCTTCCTGTTCCTCTTTAATCTGTGGAGGTTCTGGGTCCTCGTGGTTCCAGAGCTGCTCAGCACGAACATAATGTTGTTCAAGTTCTAGAAGAGGGGAAAAAAAAAAGAGATGTCACCGGACTTTCCAGAACCAGAACCATGCTCATGCAAGCAGAGTTAAATAAGTCCAAATGGTCTTAATAAACGGACCAAGCAGCTTGTAGAGACTGAAAGTAAAACCACCCACATCTAATCTAATGGAGGATCTCCACATCTGTCAGTGACTTCATCAGTAGCTGCTCTTTGTTCTGACGTTTGAGAGACCATCGTTATTCTGTTCTTCCAAGTTTTCATTTCCTACAGTTTGTACTAGAGCCCGGCCAAAATATCAGTGGGGCCGATATTTTAGACCAATATGGGCATTTGGGGATCTATCAGTATCGGTGACAATTGTCCCATTATGTGCAGATATAAAAACTTCTAATGTTCACCCCTAAAACGCTGGAACCAGCCGTAATTGTACAATGTATCCAGCAGAGGATGCATGAAGACAACTTTCAAGTCATGGCCGTTCACTTTGAGTTTCACTTTCAGAACAGACGAAGCAGCGAGCAACACTGTGTAGAGTATTTTACTGAACAGAACATGGTGAGTTTATTTTAACTGATCTGTAAAATACATCAACAAAAACATTCTCTTCACTCCTCCAGCCTGCTTGACATTAGCCTCTCACGTTAGTGTGGGTATGCTGTCCTCAAAACACACGACATGTATATATCTATCTATCTATCTATCTATCTATCTATCTATCTATCTATCTATCTATCTATCTATCTATCTATCTATCTATCTATCTATCTATAT